TGCTCTGGGAGACAACGGAGGAGGTGAATGATCTGGGCAACCTGCACAAAACACAGAGGATGTCGCTGCTCGAAGGGTGGGCTTGGGGCAGCTCTGCAGAGGGGCTGACGGTGCACTGTCTCCCCGGCTGCAGGTACTGGGATGAATTTCACACGTGTGCCCTGACGGTGCTTTGGGAGTGCCAGAGGGAAGCAGCAGCCATCTGGGAGATGCTGAGAAGGGAGTCTCGAAAAATCAAATTTCAAGGCAGCTTGTTCGACCTCTGCAGCCCTGGCATGGCCGAAAGCTTTGCATGGACCCATGTTCCCAACGTTTCCGTCCTCGGCATCCCCCTCGTCATCACTTGGCTGAACTTATAAACTGCGGCTCTGTAAGTATCACACAGAGGTGGTGGCAGCATGTGTCGTGGCATCCTTCTGCTCCATTTTTCCAAACCTTTGAGGAATACACTGTGAGATGCTCAGCGAACACTTGGCTCCATCCTGCGCATGTGAGGTGAGCTTGGCAGCATCTCCTGGGTTTTGCCGTTTCTCTGCAATTTGGAATAACGCCTGTCCCCTTCTGCCTCAAGGCACAGATCTGGCTGACTGCAGGATTTGGGAACCTGGGACAGAGGATTTGGGGGAAAAGCGAGAAACTTGTTGTGAACGCTGGAGTCTTCTATGGCTACTGGAAGGAAACCTGTTTACTTTGTTGACTCTTGCCAGCAGATCAATCCTCCAGATTGTTGATTTGGGCACTGAAAACAAGATGAGCATTTCTACCACTGATATTTGTGAGGTGGAGGGGACAGTGTACATCCTCTCAAAGGAAGAAAGGACTCCTTACTACTCTGTACTGGACTTTTTTTCTTTGAGGACATAGTGAAACCCCTGCTGCAGAGTAATCACAGGTGCATGACCTCTTCTCTTACACACATCTGGATTCCCGAGTAACTCCTGTGTTATGTGTAAATCCCTATTCTAAGGAAACGGAGGGCAAAAATATTTGGGGGGAGAGGCAATGTCAAGCTAGCATGATAAAAAGGATTTAGAGCAACTCTTTTAATTTAAAGCTTTCCCCAAGGTACCTGTAAGCAGCTCTGTGGGTGACAGCGTGTAATTCCAGAGTATTAAAGTTTGTTGTAGAGCCTGCAGCATGGTAGAAGTTGTTTGTCCTGGCTCTTGTTTGCTAGCACAGTCTCTTGTCTCCTTTGCAGCTCAGAGCCTTGTTGGTTTTGCAGCTTCAGTACAAACATGAAAATATTTGCAAACAGAGAAGTGCTTGCAAGTGATTTCTGGCTATGTTAGAAAAACACGACAATATTACTGGGCAGGATAAGGCAGTTCTGTGTGTTTAAGGATGTTAATGAAGCTGTCTGCCCTTCCTGGGTACGCAGGGCCGTGGGAGCCTCGGAGACCCAGCGTGGGTCTGCAGCCTGTTCCTGTGAGTGTCTTGGGGCAGTTCGTTGCTAAGAGGAAGCACAGCGAGTCCTGCTGGGACTTTTCTGCCACTGCCAGTGTGTTCCCCATGCAGTGCTGCTGCTCTGGAATGGGCAAGGAGCTGGTCGTCCTCATGCTCTGACTCAACAGCTGGATGTGGTTGTGAACTCTGTGTTCTAACTATGTGACTTGTTTGTCTTCCAGCAGATCTGCAATTTCCATGTTTAATTAGTGAGGTATTTCAGCCTGACTTACCTAGATACGCCATGCATCACTTTGGCTGCTTTCAGAGATTGTTTGGCCCCTTACTGGGGCACTTGCTTTGTCTTCAGTAGGGGCAGGCAGCTGCTGATGGTGGACAGCCCTGTGCAGAGCTGGGAATGCTCGTGGCTCCTCAGGGCACTGAGAGATGTCGAATGAGGACCTCTCACTCATGCTCTGAGCCCTGCCTGCTGTGGCACGCACCTGCACCAGCTGCAAGTGGACCAGGAGGTTCCGAAATGGTGTCCCTAAACCTGAAAACATGTTTTACAGTGTGAGCAGGGGGTCTGGGGCCCTGCTAGCCCCAGAGATCCCACTGGACAACCTTCTCTTGCAGCAAAAGATCTTTTTACCAACAGTGGTGTTGGGCTTTTTAATGATGGGTCATGCTGTGCTCCTTTGGCATTCACAGGTTCCTCCCACCTTCCCCATCACTGAACGCCCTGCTCCTGCAGCAGCAGGAGGGTATGAATAAATGGAGGCAAATTCCAAGAAGTCGGGGAGGAGCAGCTGGTGTTCAGACAGCACTTGAGCGCGAGGCACCAAGGCTTTCTACAGACAACAGAGCTGTAACGTGCTCGACATCTCCAGCACAAAGCCTGGAGATGAGTAGTGGAAAAAGGGTAAACCAGGGCACTGCAGAAACTGGGCTGAACCACTCGGCTGCTTCAGTTTATCTTCTTATTCTGCTCCAACAGCAGCACATGCTGTTTGACCCTGTTCCCCTCTCCCCCTGTTATCTCTTCTGTCTGTGTTTTGTAGCTGAGGAAAGCTGAAGAAGGTGAGTATCGTGTACAGCCAAGGCTGGAGTCTTTTGGATCCAAATCCTGTACGTGCTCTTTGTTTTGAATGGGTGTTTAATGCCTTTAGGAAAACAAATAAGCACAGCCCCACAAAAACCCACAACCTTTAGCTTCTCTTTGGATTTGACATCTTCCTCTCTGTTAAAATTTTCTACTTTTAAACAGCTTGGGGGAAGGGGAATGTAAAAGTCTCAGCAGAGATCTCCAAGAAGTCGTCTTTTTGCAAAGCCATGGATGCACGTGGCTAGCTGACACTACCACTGTCTCTAAGCAGAGCAGGTGTCAGGGCACATCTTCCCTGGAAGCAAATCCCTCAACTATTGCACACAAAAAACAAAGATTCATTAAGAAACAAAGACCATCTGCCACCACTCTGGTATGGAGCAGCAGAATTTTTTTAAAGCCAAAGGTGCTTCTAAATCTGACTGAAAGCATGTGAGTAAAAATTAGGTCTCACAGTATGAGAGTGATGAGTTTCAGAGGTTCCCTCCTCAATCAGTATTTCATTTTTAGCAGAACTTCTCCTATGACTTAAGACAATTACAGTAGATCTCCTTTTTTTTTAATCTTCCAAAAAAAGTAATATACTGATTCAGTCCTCATAGGCAGTCAGCAGACTTTTGGCAAGCATTTTTGATCCTACAGCACACTCCATGCTGGTGCAGTGCAGCCTGCTGGATGTCCCACAGCCTCAGTATTAAATCCACGTTTGTCAAGGATTCTTCTCATGGCCTTGCTCTGAGTTTCTCCATGTACAAAGCTGCACCCAGACTTCACCCCCCCACCCCCTGCTGCAACGGAGGCTGCTGAAGCAGTTACAGCATATCTTGCATTCAGAAAGTAAGAGGGTAAGTGTTCCTTAGTCCAAAGTTTTCATCTGTTCTTACAGGGGAACAAAAATAACACTACTTCTAATATGGTCTCACAGCAACTCTGGGGTTAGCTGCCCATTCTCCTTTAAGAAATGGGATGAATGTGGCCTTCCCTCCTCAAGCTTCTATTTGCTGTAATTACTGTTCTAGCTCACACTTGCCTTAAGACCACCCCTGAAGAACACAGGAGTTCACACTGCACTTTGGTGTGGTGTTAAGTCTTGAATGAAACCTGCAAACTTTCCCTATGCAAGACTGGGATGTTCTTTCTCAAGAACAGTGACAAAAAGCAAGAGAGGACAAAATGACACCGAAAGAGTCTTAAAATATGACTGACACCAAGCCAGTTTGTCAGCCCCGACGCAGAGTCCAATGGCAGCACAATCGCCACACTTCTCAAGGAGATACTGGCACCTACTGGAAGACCAGTTTATATCAAGGCTGAAGGTGACTGGAAGAAAGGCAAGTATCCTTATATATGAGAAACAAGCAGATTTTGAGAAGGGATGAATTGTCTTGCTGACTGCAGAGCAGAGTTGCAGGGGAAGCCTGAGGAAGTGACCTCTGGGTGGCCCTCCAGCAAGCTTTGGCTCCTGCCCTGAAAAAACTTTGTGTGAACTCTTCCCTCTGAAAGACTGCTGCTGTTCTAAAACTGTCCTTAAAGGGGTTTTGGTCAGCAAGAGGTCCTGGCAAAATCTCAAGAGTATATGAAGTTCTTTCTAAACAAATGTAACCCGCAATCTTCCTCTGCAGCAGACCTGCCAGCATTTCAAACATGAGGATGTTATCCTGCCTCAACTTATAGTATCTGAATACGAGAGCAGGAATTGAACTACAGCTCCCCCAGTAACAAAAGTCAAAAGAGCAGCTTCAAAGAGTTTATCAACTTCTGAGTCTCAAATCATCCCACTACTCTTCAAAAAACTGAATTAGCAAATAATTTATGCAAATTAACCCTTACAAATATTAACACAGAAAGGAAAATTACTGCAGCAAGGTGCTACACAGGAGAAAAATCTGTCTTTAGAACTGGCTTCGCCCCTGTTTGGGCTCGCACAAACTGGCCACCCCTCAGCGGAAACCAGGCAGGAGGCAGGTCTGCTTGCCTGGGCTGTGGGATCTGGAGGAGCCATTGGGCCTTGGCCCCTCAACAGTAAGGTGCTGTCCCTGCCTCCCTGTGGGTGCTGTTTAGTTGAAGCGCCCCTAAATAAAGGCACATTCTGCTCTTTTGAGAAACAAGCAGCAACCTCTCACTTCACTAAACATTGCCTCGACCAGACCAGACCTGCTGCTGGACTTCTGAAGCCTGACAGGTAGACCCAGACAAGTGGGAAGAGCAGCATGGCTGCAGGTCACCTTTGCAGCTTCCCCAGGACAGCTCTGGCCTGGGGTTGAACATCTGGAGACCCTGGGCTGCTGACACTCCTGAAGTGAGGGTTATGCTGGCTGACTTCCCTAGACAGCACTCACTGATGCCTTCACTTCAGAGCAGAGGTATGAAATGTTAACTGTAGGAAACTGTACATGCCCTAGACAGTGGGTGCCTGACAACCACGTGTTCTTCTCTGGCTGTATCCTTCTGTTGCCATGAGACAGACACTCATAGTATTTCTTGAAGTGCTCAACTTCCCAGGAGAACTGTAACACGTTCACAGCAACATAATATTTTTATTATTATAAAAGGTTTCTTCAGCAAACTGCTGACATCTCTAGGTATTAAACATGGAAACAGCAAACCAACCCATCTAACGTTGTAGGTTATTTAGGGTCTCAGCTGGTGATTCGGGTAAGTACAACTATTTTCTTTCTCCCCATCCATTCACTTCCTTGACTGTTTTCCAACCAAAGCCCAGACAAGTTACAGATCTGAAGCAGCAGCTCCCAGCCCCACTGCTCACTGTGCCAGCTCCTGTGAGAAGAGCTGACCACTGCATTACCCATACAGGGCACTCCCACAGGTATTAAATCCCAGATGCTTCTCACACATCAAGTTTTCCTACCTGGCTTTTAACAGTCTCACAAGTGAAGAGTTTAAGAGCACGCTCGCCATACAGTCATATTAAAAGCTTTGTGTTAACAAAATAAACATCTGCTCCTCCCCTGTTGTCTGCTGTTGTCAGAGGAGATGCTCACCCTCATGCAGTCACCAAGGTCCAAAAAGGAAAAAAAAAAAGTCTCAACAGACCTGCTGTGCTTCTTCAGTGATGATTCTCAGGCATTAGATGCACTTGTGCTGGAAACAATGACATAATGCAGCATGTTGTTGCCAGAGCAAGACTATACATTGGATTTGGGGGCAGAATTGAGTGGAATTTCTCTGAGTTCTATCCTCATGCAGAGGTACTCCCCGATGGCAGCCATCAGTGCAGTGCACACGATGTGCACCAGCCACCACGTCAGGGTCGAGGGAAAGTGCGAGTTATAAATCCAGCAGCCCAGGAGGTGGAAGAAGTGAACGGTGACAGTGAAATCCAGGCATTGCTTTCCTCGGCGGATGAAGTACAGCAAGCCAAGAGCACTGCAAAATAAAGACACAGCTTAATAAACAAACTGCACTGTATCTACGGAAAAGGGGATACAGCAAGAGCTATTAGCAGTCGCCAGTGCCAATTATTTAGCTGCTGTAGAACTTCTTAAAGGTTTTAGAGACAGGTTGTTTATGACCTTGCTCCCAGCTGCTGCAGCAAGACTTAAATGCTTACAGCTTTTTAATCATCTTGACAGCAGGGAAAGGAGCTTTTAGCTTAAAAATTCCTGCCTGGTGCTCTGAACAATCTCCCCCAGTGGCAAAATACATTCTTGTTTATAGATCAGCGTTTGCTGAGATCCGTCAATTCTAACTTTCAGTAAAATCTCTCACAGAAGCAAATCTCATTCCCAGCTGTGAAAATGAGGCAGTGAAGTCAAAATGAGTTATGCAGGTCTAGAAGGTCAGGAGTCAGCAGTTCCCCACTGCCCTCAGCAGAAGCGCTCCGTTAGGCACAGGGCTTCCGGGAGATAGTTTGAGAGAGGCAGCAGGTCACACTGAATTCTCTTAAAGTTTAATGTTAAGAAAGAACAAGACACAGGTAGTGCTCCAGGTAGTCGCCAACTTACCAGGTGAACGCATTGAGGACGAAAGCCATCATGGAGAGCCTCCCCGGTGGGGTTGAGAAGCCTAAAATCTACACGGGACTATTAGTAGGAAACCGCGGCACAAATCACAGCCCACAGCACGTAATCTCCTCCCGTGGCCCAGCCATTGCTCGGCACGGCCCTGCGTGGATTACGATCCATGAGAAGAGCCTGAGCAGTTAGGGCAGTCCGTGCAGGAGGTCTGTCTCTGCCTGGGGGTACCTACGGACAAGGGGGCAGCTCTGTTTCTGCGCTGAGGGGGAACCACTGAACCAGAGTGTGCGGCGTGTGCGTCTCCAACTGGGGTTACCTGTTGGGGGG